TACAGAACTGCACTCTAACGCTAATTTGCCCTCTTCAGTAAATCTGGGGCCGGTTGCATAAACTATTTAGACTAGTCTTAAAAAGTAACTTTTTAAATTCCGTTATGAAAAGGTAGATTGGTTTTATTTGTATTGGAAAAGTAAGACTGGTTACACCTTGGCAGCTGCTAGGTGGTCAAACTAGTTCTTAAGACAGTCTTAACATGATGGCTGAGTTTATGCCCCTGGCCCCTGGCTCCTGGTGTGTTTCTGGATCTGGATGATGAGACTGTTTCGTCCGCAGGACCGCGCAGACAGAGCGGCGCGTTACGCTCAGACTCAGCTGGACGCAGAGACGGCTCGGATCGCAGCGCTGCAGGCCAGAGCCACAGAACAGGAGGCGCGGAGAGACGCTGCGCAGCGAGAGAGGAGGTGACGCTCGATGTGTGCAGATCCTGCGGGACTGTGCTGTTCTCATCACTGTAGCGACAAATAATGCTGCGATGCAGTCCAGCGCTGCTCTTTGGCCACTACACACTAAATCTTAAGTAAAGAATTGTCTTGCAATTGAAGTGAAAGAGGCTTCAAGCGTTAATTTTTTAAAAGGCGAGTTAAAGTTAAATGATTTATATAGTTATTGTGTGAAATCATATTGCCAGTGTTTGTTTCATGCTCCTATTTTATCTTGTGAAGCATGTATCTCGCGTATGAAAAGTGCTGTACAATTAGAACTTCCCTAATAGGCATCCCTAATAAGTATTTCTGGACTCTGGCTTAAAATAAATCTGCATGAATTAAATTCAGTACAACAAATGCTAGCATTATGCACTTTACAGTAAGGCTTTATTTTCTTTAGGCACAACAGAACAGAATAACAGAATAGAGCTGATTGTGGTTTTGTGGGACTGAATTAATTGAATGCTGATGAGCAGGTTTCTGCACTGATGATCATTAGTCTTGACGATGTTTTCCTCTGCTGGTCGCAGTGCGTTTGCCAGGATTCAGTTCCGTCTGCCTGACGGCTCGTCCTTCACAAACCAGTTCCCGTCACAGACGTGTCTGCAGGAGGCCCGGCAGTTCGCCGCTCAGGTCAGCGTCCGCGATATGACTTTATTAATAACTTTATAATGGTCGTGTCAGAAGCTCTACACAGGCATGTGACGCTCATGAGTCTGTGTCTTCATGCAGGAGGTGGGGAACCGATACGGTCAGTTCTCTCTGGCCACCATGTTCCCCCGGAGAGAGTTCACAGCTGAAGATCTGCAGAAATCACTGCTGGAGCTGGAACTGACCCCCAGTGCCTCCATCGTGCTTCTTCCTGTGAGACTCACACACACACACACACACTCTCTCTCTCACACACACACATGTCTGGTTTGCTATCCTTGTGGGGACATTCCATAGGCGTAATGGTTTTTCTACTGTACAGAGCTTATATTCTATTGCCCTACACCAACACCTACCCCTTACAGGAAACTTTGTGCAGTTTTAGATTTTCAAAAAGCTTAATTCTGTGTGATTTATTAGCTAGTTTACCCATACCTCAATTTAGGTCCCCACCGTGACACGAGGCCCCTTGAGTCTGTGTGTATTCAGGTTTAAGTCCCTATCAGAATAAATAAACCTGTATATACACACACGCTCGCACACTCACACACACTCACACTTACTCACTCTCGCTCACTCACTCACTCACACTCGCACACACGCTCGCACACTCACACACACATCTGCACTCTCAAACATACTCGCACTCACATTCACTCACACACGCACACACACTCGCACACACACACACACACTCGCACACACTCACACTCTCACTCACACGCTCGCACACACACACACACACACACTCACACTCTCTCACACACACTCGCACTCACACATGCTCGCACACACACTCACACTCTCACACACACGCTCGCACACTCTCTCTCTCTCTCTCTCTCACTCACACACACACACACACACACTCACACACACTCACACTCTCTCACACACATTCACACTCACTCACACCTACTCACCCTCACTCACACTCACACACACGCTCGCACACTCTCTCTCTCACACACACACACACACACTCACACACACTCACTCACACCTACTCACACTCACTCTCACACGCTCACACACTCTCACACGCTCACACACTCTCTCACACACTCACACTTGCACACACTCACTCACACTTACACACGCTCGCACTCTCACACGCTCGCACTTACACACACTCACACTCTCACACTCACTCACACACACACTCGCACAATCTCTCACACACATTCACACTCTCTCACACACATTCACTCTCTCACACGCACTCACACTTGCACACACTCACACTCTGTCACACACGCTCTCACACTCACACTCTCTAACACACTCACACTTGCACACACTCGCTCGCACACTCACACACACTCACACTCTCTCACACACATTCACTCACTCACACCTACTCACCCTCACTCACACTCTCACACACACACTCACACTCTCTAACACACTCACACTTGCACACACTCACTCACACACGCTCGCACTCTCACACACGCTCGCACTCTCACACGCTCGCAAACACACTCACACTCTCACACTCACTCACACACACGCTCGCACACACTCTCACTCACACTCACTCACACCTACTCGCACTCACACTCTCTCACACACACTCACTCACACCTACTCACACTCACTCACACGCTCGCACACTCACACACACATTTGCACTCTCACACACACTCGCACTTTCACACACACTCACTCACACACACGCTCACACTCTCACACTCACTCAAACACGCTCGCACACTCACACACGCTCGCGCACACACACACGCTCGCGCACACACACACGCTCGCGCACACACACACGCTCGCGCACACACACACGCTCGCGCACACACACACGCTCGCGCACACACACACGCTCGCGCACACACACACGCTCGCGCACACACACACGCTCGCGCACACACACACGCTCGCGCACACACACACGCTCGCGCACACACACACGCTCGCGCACACACACACGCTCGCGCACACACACACGCTCGCGCACACACACACGCTCGCGCACACACACACGCTCGCGCACACACACACGCTCGCGCACACACACACGCTCGCGCACACACACACGCTCGCGCACACACACACGCTCGCGCACACACACACGCTCGCGCACACACACACGCTCGCGCACACACACACGCTCGCGCACACACACACGCTCGCGCACACACACACGCTCGCGCACACACACACGCTCGCGCACACACACACGCTCGCGCACACACACACGCTCGCGCACACACACACGCTCGCACACACACTCACACTCTCTCACACACTTGCACACACTCACTCACACACACTCGCGCACACACACACGCTCGCGCACACACACACGCTCGCGCACACACACACGCTCGCACACACACACACGCTCGCACACTTACACACACTCACACATGCTCACACTCTCTCACACACACTCACACTCTAACACACTCACACTTGCACACACTCGCTCGCACACTCACACATGCTCGCACACGCTCACACTCTCTCACACACTCACACTCTCTAACACTCGCACTTGCACACACACGCTTGCACACTCACACACACACTCACACACGCTCACACTCTCTCACACACACTCACACTCTCTAGCACACTCACACTTGCACACACTCGCTCGCACACTCACACACGCTCGCACACGCACTCACACTAACACACTCACACTTCCACACTCTCTAACACACTTGCACACACTCACTCACACATGCTCGCACACTCACACACGCTCGCGCACACACACACACACGCTCTCACACACACACTCACACTCTCTCACACACACTCACACTCTCTCACACCTACTCACACTCACTCACACATGCTTGCTCACTCTCACACACACTCACACTCTCTCACACACACTCACACTCTCTCACACCTACTCACACTCACTCACACATGCTTGCTCACTCTCACACACACTCACACTCTCTCACACACAGTCACTCTCTAACACACTCACACTTGCACACACTCACTCACACACGCTCGCACTCTCTCACACACACGCTCACATGACCTCAGATGATGCCAACCCTGAAACAACATACAGAACTACCACATTTTGCTATAAGTTTGATTGCATCATATAATAATTGCTGTTAATAGTGTTCATCGTCTGTTTTATTACGTCTTAAATTGATTTTTCCGTACTGCTGGTTCGTCTGGTCAGAGGAGAACTGGCCCCCCGACTGAGCCTGGTTTCTCCCAAGGTTTTTTCTCCATTCTGTCACCGATGGAGTTTTGGTTCCTTGCCGCTGTCGCCTCTGGCTTGCTTAGTTGGGGACACTTCATTTCCAGCGATACCGTTGACTTGATTGCAAAGATACTATTTAAAATGAGCTGGATGTTGACATCACTGAATTCAATGATGAACTGTCTTTAACTGAAAAATTTGTTTACTATTGTCATTTTGCATTATTGACACACTATTTTCCTAATTAATGCTGTTCAGTTGCTTTGACACAATCTGTATTGTTAAAAGCGCTATATAAATAAAGGTGACTTGACTTGACTTGACATGCTCGCACACTCTCACACACACACGCTCGCACACTCTCTCTCACACACACACTCACTCACACACTCTCACACTCATATACATGCTCACATAGACATCACTCAAACAATAACAAGTCATGTTTTCTCTAAAATTTATTTTTATTTTTTTGTCAGACACCACTGATTTATGCAGTGATGAATAGGGCTGCACGATTAATCGAAATGAAATCGCAATCGATATTAGTCAAAAGCTGATAAGTCATGCGCATCTTGTCAGTGAAGCAGGGTTCTGTGATCAGTAGTAAATCTCTATCTGAAGGCCAGAGAAACTCCAAATACACGCCGCAGAAGAAACCCAGGCAATCCCTACAGCGCTAGCTGAATAAACAGAAGATTGAACTGCTTTCATTGATTCAACGTGACTAATAAACACACGACTACGACAATATATGATTTATCGGAGTTCTTTTTATTATAATTTCCATTATAATAAAGTACATTTATAATGCAATGCTAAGTGAGTTTGGAATAAAAACATGTTATAAAATGTGGTATTTTGTGGGACAAGAGGTTCATAAATGCTTCTCATGTTTGGAAAGATGTTTGACCCATGTTGCTTTTCCAAATGCACGTTATAAACTACTCAAACGACTCAAAAGATACGCACGACAATCGCATTCTATTAATCATGCAGCCCTAGTGATAAAAAGAGAAACTCAAAATCTTCTCTGTAAAAATCTTTAACTCGAATATGACAACAAAATCACACAAGAATTTTGATCCTGGCTTCATCCAAAGTTCAGTTTTATGTTCTCAATGTATGCAAATTAATGAATATTAGACAATGCCTCATTTGCATGTTTAATTTAAAATGCATAACATTTCAGAAAGCTTGTGATGATAAGCTGTGTAGGGTTGTGGTGATGTAGTCACATGACGCGTGAATGCTGTCGTGTGATTGGTCCCTGCAGCAGTCCAGCAGTGCTGTGGTGCGCTCGTCTGCGTCCGGAGGCGTCTGGGCGGCGCTGGGGTCACTGCTGTACCCGCTGCTGTCCGTCTGGAGGTTCATCAGCGGATTCCTGTTCAGCAGCGCTCCTCCTGCTCCTGCTCCTGCTCCTGCTCCTGCTCCACCCACTGCCCAGAACGCATTCGGCTCCGGCGCCGCCGCAGAACCAAAGAGGTGCGTCGGTGTGTCTGTGACCTCTCTGTGACTCCAGTTACCTCACATTAAAGGGGTCATGAACTGCCTCTGTTTATTTTGCACTGTTCTCTGAGCTCCACTTATAATGTTATCAAGATTTTTACATCAAAAAACATCATCATTTAGACGTAATGGGCTATTTTCTGTGCTGTTTTTAACCCCCTCATCAGAACGCTCTGTTTGAATAGGAGTGGAGGATTGTAGACTCGGAAGTAAACGCCCACTGCTGTGATTGGCTAAGAGTCCGTCTTTTAGTTTCAGTGTTTCTGAAAATCCCACGTCGAACTGTGCCTTGTTTGTAAACGAATCTGCGATAAAAATGAAGTGAACAAAGGACTGAGTTCTTACTGACGGGGTCTGGAACTTAATTAAAAATAAAGTTCATTCACTCTTTCTTAACGCTGGGATCAGAAGGAAGGCGATCAGCGTAGAATCGGGGCTAAACAGACAGTGATGTAGAATCGGTGGGCGGGGCTAAACAGGCAGTAGGCTTGTTTGAGATGCAACTCCGGACAGTTCTGCCCTCTCGAAGTGGAGCAGATAACAACGAGATCAAAGGCAGATATCGCGTTATTCACACTCACGTGCTGTGTTGCTAATTAACATGATATAATTTCAGTTCTGTTGCTTTTATATAAAAAATAAATATGATGAACAAGACACTCAAAAGTGCTTGCTATTTAATTCCATGCGAAAGGTGTATTTATCATCCATTTTTACTTTAATACAAACATGTATTTTAGAGTTTTATAGAAATATGACAACAATCGCATAACTCACACAGAGATCGCACTGTCACAGTGTTTGGGAACATTCATGCATAATTTAAATACATAATCGCATGGAACCAGATAAAAATTACAAAATTTTAGAAGAGAACGCAGCATCACGGTTGTCTGGACTAATGAGCATAAAGCTGTGTCTTCAGTCAGTCGTTTCCCATCATGCTTTTGGTCAGTGCAGTCGGTGGAGAGCAATCCAACACAGTCGCCTCGCTGTCGCGAGAGTTTTTTGGCACACGTCAGCATGACATCAGAGCAAGTCGGACGTAACTCGGACACTTTTCTAACTGGCATGCATCTCGCGGTGATCACCGGTGATCGGTTCTGCGCAGATTTTGCTCATTTCAAACAAGCCTAGTGATATCGATCATCTTCTGTGGAGGCGGTGCTTATCCACACTATTACATCATAGAGTCGAACATTCCACGAACTGTGGTTTTGGCAGATCGGCTTCAACATAAGCTGTTTTCAGACTAGTCGAGTCACCTTTATACCTTATACTACCAAGAAAGTTTTAAGTTCGGAAAGTTACAGGATGTTTTTATAGTGCAATGACCTCTTACAGTCAGGTCCATATATATTTGGACACGGCACAATTTTTATTATTTTAGCTGCTGACCAAAACATATTCAAGTTACATTTATATCATATGAATATGGGCTTAAAGTACACCCTGTGAGCAAACACAGAGGCTTCACCACAAGCTGCAAACAAGGCCAGATTAGACTTCGCCAAAAAAACATCTAAAAAAAGCCAGAGCACTTCTGGAAAAGCATTCTTTGGACGGCAGAAATAAAGATCAAGCTGTACCAGAACGACGGAAAGAAAGAGTCTGGAGAAGGCTTGGAGCAGCTCCTGATCAAAGCACACACATCATCTGTGAAACACGGAGCAGTGTGATGCATGAGCGTGCATGGCTTCAGTGGCTCTGGGTTACTGCTGTTTAGTGATGATGAGACAGAAGCAGCCGGATGAACTCTGAAGGGTATAGAGATATACTCTCTGCTCAGATTCAGCCAAATGCAGCAAAGCTGATTGAGCGGCGCTTCATAGTACACATGAACAATGACCCAAAACATACAGCAAAAGCAACCCAGGAGTTTCTGAAGGTAAAAAAGTGGAATATTCTGCGATGGCCGAGTCAATCTCCTGATCTCAGCATGCATTTCACTCGCTGAAGACAACGCTAAAGACAGAAAGAGCCACCAACACACAACAGCTGCAGTAAAGGCCTGGCAAAGCATCACAAAGAAGAAACCCAGTCTCTGCTGATGTCCATGAGCTCCAGACGTAAGGCAGTCATTGCCTGCAAAGGATTTGCAACAAAATATCAAAAATGTTTTAGACAATTTTTTATTTATGATTACATTTATTTGTCCAATTACATTTGAGCCTCTGAAAATGGGGGGACTGTGTATAAAAATGGTTGTAAATCCTAAGCATTTTATGTTATATTTGTGTTCAAGCCCTTGAATTAAAGCTTAAAGTCTGCACTTCAGTCACATCTTTGTTTAATTTTAATTCTATTCTGGTGGCATACAGAGCTGAAATTATAAACATTGTGCGAGTGTCCAAATATATGTGGACCTAACTGTATATGTCAAAAGATCAAGGGAATTTTGGTTTCTAAGTTCATGACCCCTTTATGTGTAATCACATTGTGACTCACTGTGAACTCACAAACTTGATTTTTCTAGACACTGACTATTTTGTGTCATTGAGATACAGAATAATTTCTGCTGTTTTCCGCTCCAGAGATGCGGTTCGTAAGAGGGTTCTTGAGAAGAGGCCTGAGGACTTCAAGAAAGATGGGAAAATATACCGGCTACGGACTCAAGAAGACAACGAGGACGACAACAACACGTGGAATGGGAACTCCACGCAGCAGATGTAGCGTGGCCAGCTTCTGTGCTTTGAGTGTGTGTCAGTCTTAACGGTGGGTTGATCATTTAGGGCTGATTTCCTCCCCTTCCCTCCGGCTCCACCGCATGGGTAAATCAGATCAGGTTAGCTAACTCGCTTTAACAGACACTTCAGCCAGGACAACTCCAGGCTGGAGAAACACAGGTTCCAGGCTTTGATGCATCTGTTATCGCCAGCATTGATTTAATACAGTGACCGCCGCTGTGAATGCAGTCTGTTGTGAATATCCGAGGGTTTGTGGTGTTTTATATGGTGGTTTAACCCCACAGCGTCATAAACCGCCTCGGCAACAGAATGTCTTTCTACTAGTTTGAGCACAGATGCTACTTGATCCTTTAACGATAGAATAAAATGTTTTTCAACGAAACGCTTCGACTGCAGTCATTCTTCTCTTTTGATTTTGTGCTTCTGTTTAATCTTCTAGAACTGTCTGTGTGTTTTCATTAATGCGTACAAATTTATTAATCATGTGACAATCGTTTGCAAAAATTCATCCGGTTACTATTATCTGTTGTACTCAGTATGATCATGTTTTGTAATTCATATTAAAGGTAAAAGTATTTTGGGTTCTCATTCTTTGACTGTATCATTTGTGCGGTTTCTTTAAGAGTTATGAGTTCTGCTTCAGGACGATGCTCACCTCACAGAGATCAGAAGGTCAGTCGAGGCAGATTACAAATGTGTTTATTAGCATTATACATTTTCAGATAGAAGCAAACATTTGTGTATCAAAGTTTCATACGCTCAGAATGAAGTGCAGCTCATTCTCCGGTAGGGCTGTCAACTGATTAATGAACAAAAATAATGCAGTAAAAATGATACTCATAATGCTCCTCTTTTAGTAATGGGAAACGCTTTTTAAAAACAAAGCACGAGAGCATGTGGCAGTGGGTGATGAAAGCATAACAGAGGTCAGTGATGGTTGATTATAAGACTATATTCACTTCTAAAGACCACTTGTCGGTTCAGTGATTTACTCGTGTCACACAGACCGTTCACATGAATATGAAAATTATGTTCCAAACCTGTGAGTTTCTTTCTTCTATTGACCACAGAAGAAGATATTTTGAAGAATGCTGGTGACCAAACAGTTGCTGGTCTCCATTGACTTCCATAGCATGGGCAAAAACTACTATGGAAGTCAATGGGGACTAGCAACTGTTTTGGAATAACATGAGGGTGAGTAAATGATGACCATTTTCATTTTTGGGTGAACTGTCCCTTTAAATATCTTTTATTTTTTTATCTTTTCTCAGCAAATATAGTATCATGTAATTAATAAAGTGATTTTTGGCAGCTGACAGCCCTACTGAAGAAAGTCATGCGTGAAAACATTCGTTCATGTGTTTGTCATGGTAATATCCTGAAGACTCTCCCATCTGTCAGCAGCATTCAGGGCCAGTGTGTGTTTGTAGAGTTTGCTGGAGGGCTATATGGATTTGAAGGTGATGAGGTACTCTTGATACGCTCCCGCGTCACAGAACACCACGAAGATGAACTGGTTCTGGAGGCTGTCCACAGCGCAGTCGTGCAGTCCGGCCCGCGGGTCTGCAGGGTTGATCGGATCCGGCTCCTTCATTCCTTCTCTGCTTTTACACAGCGAGCCCGTCACCACTCGCGCTCGGTAGATGTACTTCAGCCCTTTGTCGTCTGGGTTGGAATACTTGTCCTGGCAGGAGTACCAGGCCTCTTTAGCGAAGTAGGTGCCTTCGCCGTGATAGACCACTTCAGAACAGAGCACATGCGACAGGTCAGTATCGTGAAGCTGCAAGAAACGGGCAGTTACGGGTCAAATGTGACGTACCGTTTCTCCCACAGAAGCTGCGGTTGAAGCCGTTCTTGTTGATTTTCTGGCATATCTCTTTGGTCGTTCTGTGATAAAGCTGGCACTCGTTTCTCAGTTTGGGGTATTTCTTATCCACGGCCTGTTTCAGCACACAGTATCTCTGCCACTGCGACTGACTCTGAATCCTGTCGATCTGGAATCATTTCAGACATTGTTAAACACGAGCCTAAAGTCAACACGGAACAGCGTAAAGTCGACATGAAATCAGAATCATCTCTTAATTTCTTAACTCTCATTAGTGCATGTTATTCCAATTGTTAAAACTCTTGCTTGACCACCTTCTTTAGCTGACATCATCAGTCCCTCTTATTTATAACCATCCAATTAATGCATCATGGGAGAAAAAAAAAGTTCCTGTTTTTCTCATTGAATATTCTGCTTTTTATGCATTTATCCAAACATTGCATTGAATCTATACATTGTTTTTAAACAATTTGTGCATTCCCTGATAATTTAACCCATGTTTTTGCTGTACTTTGAGTTACAAGAATGCTTAATTTCCATATTCTGAATTAAGTCACATTAGGGACGTAGAATGAGTTGTGATTGCCCTTGACTTTAAGTACTGACGCTTGTGTTCTAACGTCTAATGTCTGGTCATGTCTAAGTTATTTTACCTGTTGAACCTGGACAGGGTTCACATCACGGTGTATGCTGGATTTCAGAAAGGCTGTTTCTATGTTCTTGTATTCCACCGTATCTGATTGTAATGTGATTATTTCTAAATCCCGTCCATCCATTTTGGTCCATGTTGGAGGGGGATGAATGATTGCTGAGAAACAAACAAGCAAAGTTACAGAAAGAACAGTTTCTGTCATCATATATCTTCAGACAACTTACTGTCTGTCTGATGCTTACGACATCAGATGGTCAGTGAGGTGCTTTCTCTACCACCCCCTATATGCCTTGAGAACAGATTTGAAGCATTAATGAATGTGGGTGAGGAATCCCCAAGTGTGATTGAACATGGATCTTATCGGCCAGCAGATAGCACCGCTACTAACAGGCGCTCAAGGTCGAGCACAAGACTGCAAATCAAATCATCATCCATGTGGGGAAGAATGATATTCGGAAAGAGCAGTCAGAACTCCTTAAGGACTTCAGTGAACTCTTTGAAACACTTTGATGACTTAAAGTTCAGTCGTTCATCAGTGGACCACTCCCAGCAAGAGGAATTAATATGTTTTCACAGTTGCTTGGGCTGAACACATGGCTACAACGATCTTGCAATATAAAAGGAGTCAACTTCATCGACAATTTCAATTTTTTCTGGGGCCATAGACAACTGTTTAAACTGGATGGCCTCCACCCAAACAAACTTGGTGCAAGAATGCTAAAGGACAACATCTACTTCTCCCTCCGTCATCCATCAGTAGTGTGTGCCAAACTACTCAACCTGAATGGCACACACACACCTGGACAGAGTATGAATTATCCCTCTCTCCAGCATCAATCAGAAGAAATTGACAGCAGAATTTTGGAAGAAATAGTACAGAAGCTTAAATCGTCAACCTGCTATCTTGACACACTTCCCACATATTTTTTCAAAAGTGTGCTTAACTGTTTAGAAGCAGATCTCTTAGAAGTGGTGAACGCCTCACTTTTTCTGGGATGTTTCCAAACTCCCTGAAAACTGCAGTTGTTAAGCCCCTCCTGAACAAGAGCAATCTTGATAACAACATTTTGAGCAATTATAGACCAATATCAAATCTTCCTTTTATGGGCAAGATTATTGAAAAGGTAGTTTTTAATCAGCTGAACAAATACTTAAACTCAAATGGATACCTGGACAATTTTCAATCTGGTTTCCGACCGCATCACAGCACAGAGACAGCACTCATTAAGATAATAAATTATATTTGCTTAAATTCTGATTCTGGAAGAATATCAGTGCTGGTACTACTAGATCTACAT